GGCCTGGTGCTTTTGCTGGGCCTTTGGATTTTGCTGGGCCTTTTTATGGAACTATATACATAATATATAAAACGTAAAGCATTTGTATTAAGACAAATGAAAATTTTTAATTACGATTAAAGTGCCATAACAGAAACGAATCGAAAAAGTTTTTTTTTTTTTTTTAAACAGTAGGAAACCGGTTATTTTCCTGTTTATAAATATAACATTCAAAACAACCATTTGTTATAAATAGAACATAAACCATATAAACAAATTAAATATAATTGTATGATACATGCATATAAATATGTTCATTAAAGTATTACTCCAAGCATCAGACTGACTACAGCCTGCTGTTATGGTTATGGTGCAGAGAGTAACTTAAACACAAAAACAGGGTTATTCACTCAATCCTAAACTGCGTTTTAACCTAAACGAATCAAACAGCCATGTTATAATTAAACTACACATTTGATTTTCTTGCCTTTTTGCTTGCAAATTATTCACTTGTAGAATCAAGATTCGGCTCATTCACCAACCCATTTTCAATGCATAACAGAGAGAGTGCATTTAAACGCTCCTGACCCATTGAAGATCTCAGTTCATTTTTCACACGTTTTAATGTTGAAAACGAACGCTCACCACTGCAGTTGCTGACCATTAAACACAAATATATGCAAAGGGTCACATGTGTGTATGGAAATGCACCGACTAGGGATTGTGTGACCAGAAACTTTTACATTTGTAGTTCTTGACTTTCATTAATTACTTTTTTTGCAGGGGAAGACGGGTAAATTTTTAAAAGAGAGGCAAACTGCACAATTTCATCTGCAAACAAGGGGTCGAGATCTTTAGGATATTGTGTCACTAGTGTTCTGGCTTTGGAGCATAGACCATCTGTTGCTAGAGTGCACATTTCTAAAAGCAAGCCAAATCTTTCCTGAATGACGCTGTATGCTGCTTGTCTGTGCCTCAGTGATTCTGTCAGTTGGTCAATTATAAGATAAGATAAAAGGTGTTCACTTTTCAGATGGTGTTATATTAGCATCAGCATCTTCTGCATCACCATAGTCCCACTTCTTATTTCCTTTAATTTTCCTTCCACGTTGTAGCTGGTACTCCTTGCAGCAGGTAATATCTTTGCCCTGCTGTTCAAATTCAGAGAATCTAGAATGCAGAGACTGAACAAAATCCTTCAGAGATTTCAGCATGCCTGTTGCTGTATGTACATCTAATTTTGCATCTTGGAGACTCTGACTGGTTCTGTGAAACCTGGGTAAAATAACAGACCATGTTTCTATCATTATTCCTGTTTCCAGCTGATCCATAACACTGCTTAGGCCCTTTGCTTGTAAACAGACCTCCCCTTTAATATTTGCAAGGACTTCTTTGATAGTGGTATACCCTTTCTGTAAGGCATTCACAGCATCATGATGAGCAGACCAACGCGTTTCGGCTAACCTTTTTAATGTTGGCATACCACATGTTTTGAAACAGTTTGTTAGCAGATTCCACTGATGAGTTGATGAAGAAAAAAAACAATATAACTGCTGATCAAAATTAAAGAATGAAACTGCAACTGGACAGCTGTTTACTGCATTTTGTCCTACAAGGTTTAGTGAATGTGTACAACAATGAATGTCTTCAGCCAGTGGATTTTTTTTCCCGAATTAAGGCCTGCATACCATTATATTTGCCACTCATATTAGATGCATTATCATATGACTGGCCCCTGCAGTCTTTGATGGAAATACCATTTTCTTCCAGAAATTGAAGAACCATGTTTGCTAGTTCCATACCAGTATGTCCAGATCTTGGGATAAATTTAGTAAAATGCTCCACTGGACCACTGGCAAGTACATATCGAAATATAATGGTCAGTTGATCAGAATGTGCAATGTTAGGGGTGGAATCAACAGAAATTGAATAATATTTGACTTGTTTCATTTCATTTACAATCTGCTGTGGCACTTGCTGACCAATCAATTCAATAAACTCATCACATATTGTTGATGACAGGTACGATATGTGACCTCTTCCCTTGTTGCCATGCTTTTGAATATGTTCAGCAAGGAATGGATCATATTCCGCTAACAGCTAAAGACAGCCCAAATAATTCCCATTGTGTACTGAGCCAATCATTTCCTTACTTCCTTGAAAAGAAAGATCTCGTGATGAAAGGAGCTTTATAACGCTCAGGATACGGCAAAGTATTTTGTGCCAATATTTTTTCTGATACTCAAACTGGTTAACAAGATCTTTGTCTATGCGTTGACCAGAAGTTTTTCTCCTGATAAGGGCTTCAATTGCTTTTCCATGAGAAGCACTATTTTCATGCCTGCTTAAATCTCTTGTGGCATGTTGGCAATCTGAATAACCAGTTGAAGTCAAATGTGTTGTTTCGTCTTTCGAAAATAGTTTGCCAAGAACACAAAAAACCTTGGCAGTTTTTGGAGAATAGCACAGCCAGTCACACTTAACTTTTTCTCAATTCAACTGTTCTTGGAAAAACAAAGACTTTTTACAGTGTCTTGTAAAAGTTTCACCTGGACATATCTTTTCTGAGGCACTAAAATCACTGTCCATATGTTGACCGTTGGTAAGCCCATTTTCACAGAAATATTCTCTCAAGGCATCACAAATATTCCAATCTCCAATGTCATTTGAATATATTTCTTCTTGCTGTTCTGTTATATTTTCATAGTCCAACTCAGTGGATCCACTTGTTTCACTAGATGTACTGACAGCAATTGTACTGGTTGAACTTGAAGCGGAAGCATGTATATCAGTTGAACTGCTTGTTCCAGATGTGCTTTTTCCACAAAATTCTATAATTTTTTTTTGTTTTAGACAAGATTTTTTGCATTTGTTTTTCTTCCTCTTGTATAGCTGTCAGCTTCTCCCAACCACTACATTGTTTTTTCATCCTTAGGTGTAAAAAAAATAAAAATAAAAAAAGACTATCGTTACCAAGGATGGTCAAATACAGTACTTTCTCTAGGAGCTTTTTTTTTTTTTTAACAGCTCGTTTATTAGTGCAATTATCTTGAGTTTTCCTAAGCCCACACAGAGGACACATTGATCTACTGTGGTACAGTACAACTCCAATAATTGTATATTGATCCAGACACAGTCTGTGGTATATTAAAACCCCATCATTAAATAGTGATCCAGACACAGACTGTGGTACGATCCAAACACAGACTGTGGTATGATCCAGACACAGACTGTGGTATGATCCAGATACAGTCTGTGGTATAGTATAACTCCCATTATTATATATTGATCCAGACACAAACTGTGGTACGGTATGACTCCCATCATTTACAATGATCCAGTCACAAAGTGTCTGGTACAGCATAACTCCAAAGGTTTTCAAAACCCTATAAAACTTGTACATGGCATCGCTGAACACAAATAGAAGTGTTCTAGAGCAGTCAAATGTAGAATGAATATGACACCATAGGTGAAAGGGCAGTTTTTGTGTGAAAAATGCAACAACAACAAAATCATGAACACTAATTTTGGCAAGGGTTTGTGACTAACTGGCTACTAAAAAAGACTGGACATACTCTATTTTGAATACCCTAGGTTGTCTAATTTTGCAAATGGTGTGCCATCATGTAGGTGATTCTCATTCCTGGGCTGCCATACAGTCTGAAAGACAACAAAGGCCCAGTTGGCCAATCTGGCAACTTTTAATGTGTAAAAACCGAAATGGGCAAGCCCTATATCTGAACCTGTAGGTTTACAAAACCCTATAAACCATATACATTGAGCAGGGGTACTGTTCTACTTGTGAAACAATTGCTGAACACAAATATGTGTGTTTTATTGCCGTAAAAGCAAACAGTATTATGACATTCACTTTTAAAATGCCATGCAGAACTAAGAAAATAGCATTTAATTTCTCACACTTTTTCTTTTTTTAGATTTTATTCATATTAAATTGTGTTCCATATGTAAATATTTGTGAGATGAAAGCCCTTTTCTCATGAACAGAATGATATATAATAAGTGTGGGTCCACTTCATATGAAAAAAAGGTAACTTATGGATAAGCAGACCTATAGCTCAAATTCCAGGTTATGTTTTGGTTCAGAAATTGTACAATTGCCTCTGTCCTTAAGGGGTATCTCAAATGGCTAGGTAGGTCACGGTTGTCCGCCCAGAACATAACTTGAAAATTTTTAAATAAAGTCAACGTAGACAAAAGCTCCTTACTTTTCAGGGTTGTAAACCTCCACTCATAAAAAAAATAAAAGAATGCAACATTTTCACACATAGCAATATAACAAATTCTCCCACCATATAGCTGCCAATTAATTCATAAGTCTACAACTTTCATGTAGGTAGTGCTTTTCCAAAACCCCAAGACCTCTGTACCTTAGCCTTATTTATCTACCTCTTTTACATCACACATCAAACATAGTTGAAATTTGTAGTCATTTTAATTTATCTAAAATGCAATATACTAACAAGGAAGATAAACGCTCAAATCACCAGGTGTGCGTCACTCAAAACCACACGAAGTGCAACAAATAAAATGAAATAGATAGTATGGTGAGAGCATACTGTATAAAGTAGTGGATAAAAATGTATAAAACATGCAATTTACCATGTATCTGGGTACATCCTAAAAGTATAAAACACAATACATAGTATAGCCTGTATATAATGTAAATAAATTATATGAGAAGAAAATGTCCCACTCACATGGTGCTGAGCCGTTAGAAAGTGGCTCAGACTATCAGCGCCTTTTCCAATATATGTTTTGGAGATCAAATGCTGGAAACCAGATGTAAGTGTTCACTGAAGAATCATTACTTCCCTTCGTGTTGCCAAGATAGACGCCAAATGAAGGGGTCGTTGGAAGAACAAAATACTTTAATGGTATCGTTAAAATATATATATAAATTTTAATTTAGAAAAATCAGTCTTTACTGTGTCTTTAAATCAGACACTAAGTATGTGTGACCGGAGAGAGATAATATTATTTACATGTTTACCCCCCCCCCAAAAAAAAGGCATTTTCTTTTTTTTAAATATCCTATTTTCCATCTTCCCTTTACCCCCTCCTCCTCCTCTTTTTCTCAATAAACATGTAACTTCTTAAGGTAATTTCTATAATTATTCCAACAAATTTATAAACAGTTCTCTCATTATTCTTCGTGTTGTTCAAATACTAGTGTATTCAATCCTATTATCTACTTCTGACATGTGAATTAATTTAATCTTTTTAGTTCTGTGCACATAGTGTTTATTAAACTATTATTATAAATTTTAGATCTATTTTTTTCCATCTGACTTTTATATCCCTTTAATATTATGTGAAATAGTTTTCTGAAAAAAAGTTACTCTTTTAAACTTTTCTATAATAGTGAAGGTTTGTGGCCATACAAGTGAAAATTACAAATAAAATCTACTATATTAGTGAAAGCTTATGAGCTATCCAAATGAAATTTCCAGGTGACATCTTCAAACCAAAATTGCTACTTAGTTATATTGAGAGATCTCTTTGTCATGAAGAGAGGGGAGAGAAAAAAAAAAAATTATTTTCTTTCTTTTCCTTTCTTCTTTTGCTTTTTTATCTTCTGTCGCAACAGTCTTTTTATCTTTCTTCTTTAATGCTAGTTAACCAACTATTTGCTTAATTTACATCCAAAAAAAGTTTATTTTCTTGTTTCCAAATAAACTTTAAGGATGCTGGAAGGCTCCATTGGAATCTGATCTCATTTTTTATTAGAAAGTCTGTCACGGCAGAGAAGGATTTTCTCCAAAACCTAGTAAAATAAGCTAAGTCTTGCAAAAAAATTATATCTTTATAAATAGAATTAATTTGGGGTTTAATACGGCTGGCTTTCATTAGATTTTCTCTCATTGAGAATGAAGAAAAACTTACTATCACATCTCTTGGGAGATGTGAGGCAATTGTGTTAGGTTTATAAATTCGATAAAAATGTACTATTTGATAGTCATCTGATGGCATTTCAGGTAGAATTTCTTTAAATAAGTTGCTTAGATATTCCTTTAATTTTTCGTTAGTGATTTCTTCGGGAACCCCTCTTATTCTTATATTGTTTTTTCTTGACCTGTCTTCCAAAACTGCTATTTTTTTTTTCAAGATTGTCGGTTTTATTTGTTAAAGCCTGCATTTCTGTTTTAATTGCTTTTATTTGGGTTCCAAATACTTCAAGTTTTTTTCCCACTTCTACCACTGATACTGCCACATTTTTAATATCTTGTTTAATATCATTGAAGCTTGCATGCATATCTTGTTTTAATATATTGAGTTGTAGCTCTAACAATTGCTTGAGTTGATCTTGTGTGCTAATTGAAGCAATTGCTTGAGATTGTAGTGGAGATTGTACAATTGGGACTTCCAAATTGGTATTGGAGGTATTAGCCGGTTGTGTCATACATTCAATTTTCTGATCTTGCCCATCTTTAATAGGGGTTATAAAAAAAACAGACAACCT